CTTCCTTGATCCACCCACTTCATGCGCTCAGCAAAAGTTTTTTTTTTTTTAAGTTATTTACTGTTTCAACATTGCCTTTTGAAACAGCCCATAAGTGATAATGGAATGCATAAAGCAGTGAGAAAGAGAATCCAATTACATCTACCTGCATAGCTCAGCTGCAAACCAAGTCACAATAAACAGGCATGCTTAAGTCACAGCATTTCACTGGAAATGGGGCAGAACTTGTGTATTTTAACAACTTTTTACAACTAGTAACCACTACAGAATTTATTTTACTTTCTCAGAGAAAACCAGAGAAGGTTAATAATTTAAACTAAAGGTTCTTTCAGCCTTAAAGACAAAAAGCATTTCTGCTTAGCACCTGAGTAATAATGTGGGATGTGTACAGGTGAATTAAGAAGACTGGACTTTTTGGCTGGTTTAGAACATATGATTCCTTTCTAACCCTGCAGTCATTTATTATTCAGCAAAGAAAGATTGAGTTTTTTTTTCCATAAACACAGTGGTGGTCTGTGGCTTATGATTTACCATGTCTCTTCTGAAATGCAGGACACAGATTATTACAAAATGATACATACTCACATAAACACACACATATACAAACACACACAGATTTTAGGGTTGATTTTCTTTTGTTCCACTAAAACCAGAGAGTTTGGATCACCAGAACATATTTTGCCTCTCACATGTGACACTCAAAACACATCTTAGAGGGTACTTTATTAAAATGGTATCTCTATATATGAGCACATATAGAAAAATCATCTCAGGTTTTATTGGGTTAGTAACCTGATGTTCATTTTCCCACTAGGAAGGCATTCTGTTTTAAAGGCTTACAAGTACTGCACCCAAAACACACTTTAGGCACTACTCTAAATAATACAAGTGTGAAAATTGTGAACATTTCTTAGAAAATATTGGCTTAGTAACCAGATATTTATTTTTCTGCTAGGAAGGAATTATATCTCCAAAATATGAATATTTCACAAAGCATAGAAAATATATAGTATTAATAAGAAGCTTTCTCTCTGGTGAGAATTAGGGCCCACCATTTAGAAATTCTATTAATAAAGTGTTAAAATTATGACATCAAAATTATAACATGCACTCATTGAACCCAGTTAGAATGATATCATCTTCTAGGTGTGTAGAATAGGATAAAAAGACAAAGGCCCATATTTTTTAAATTTGATATGCTAGACACAGTAACAACAAAGTCTCCAATGGAGACGTTACTGGGCCCGCTCGAGCAAATCGATGATCAACGGGAGGGCCTTTACTTTACTTTACTTTTATGCTAATGTTGACATATTACAAAAAAACAATATTCTTTAAGATTAGAAAGTACGTAGATTTACAAAATATGTTTAGATATACATAGTAGAATGCTTAATTAGGATTCCAATGGATTCAGGCAAGCTTGTCCTTTTCCATGGAAATAATTTATAAATCTGTCACAGATTGTTTGGCATGACCAACAAGTTTTCACTCTGAGAATTGTTCTGTTGAACAAAGGTATAAATAAACTACTGTGGAATCATCTTATTAAAAGTGCTTGAACATAATGGAACTAACTAGACATCTACTAGAATGTAATAAAATAACTGATACTTTTGAAACCACAATAAAGTTACTCTGGGGTATTAAAGAGTAATGAAAGTTTGGCTTCCTCTTGTTCTACATTCAAAAATTTTTGCAGACAAATATGAAAGCCACAGTCATCACTGGAAGTTAAGCACTTGAAACACTGCTAGTCTCAACTGAGATGTAATGAGCAGATGCAAAAGGTACAAATCTCAGAGTATTCAAAACAAAATGCAAAATACCATAAATACTTTAATGTGACACATAGTGTTATGTTAATATAAATTAATTACATAAAATAAAATATTAGAATCAATTCAAATGTTTAAAACTAAATGTGGCTTGTGTAATTTATATATCTGTTTGCCAATGACTTTTAGTCACAGAACGTAAAATATGGTTGAGAATTTATAAATTGCCCTACATAACTCCACACATTTTACAAACAAGGAAACTGAAGCTTAGATAGTGATGAGTTTGGTTAAGTCCAGAATTAGAATTAACAGAGATTCAATAGAGTTCAGCAGTCTAGCTTTCTTTCCATTGGGAGCATCATAAAATGATGAAATGACTTATTTTAATCACCATGCCAAAATTTTTTTATTTTACTTTCAGGTTATTTAAACTACTTTATCTTCTTTTTTTTTTTTGAGAAGTGGTATTTTTTTATTCAATGTTATACATACATCACATTAAAGTACTTTTCAGTAAGTGAAAGGCAACATTTTTAGATACAGGGAATTTTTAATTAAATCAGCATCATTAAAAAAAGATATAAGATCACTGCCAACTAATCTTATCAGGCTAAGAAACACAACCTAAGGAGACAGTGATATCCTCAATCTTTAGATATATTAATATAGCTGGTTCTATAAATCTGAATAGAAAACTATTCTCCCACAGGTATGAGATGGCCATCTCCATTCCCTTGGAAAGGTGAATGTGAAGAATTAAGTTCAAACATATCTTTGGAAAGGGACAGTGATCGCACTTGCTGACCTGGAATTATCATTAATTCAAAAAGTGGATCATACTCATTTAAAACACAATCCAATCCTATTTAAATCAGGGCTGCCCAACAAAAATACGCTACTGGTCACTCATGATCTGGTGAATTCTGGTGAACAAGATGGATTTAAATATGGTACACATAAAAAAGTCATGAGATATTTGTTTTGTAATAAATAAGGCGGTGCCAACTATTACTCATTAGTAACTTTTTTTTCAAAATTTTATTTTTATTTATTTATTTTTTATCATTTTTTTTATTAGTGAAACACCATGAAGTACACTTATAGACTTATAAATTTTTGTGTTTGGGTTTCAGTTATACAATGATCAAGTACCCATCCCTCCACCAGTGCCCATCCTCCCCCACCACGGGTCCTAGCATCCCTCCCACCTCCCATCCCCCCCCCCGTCCCACCCTGCCGCTGTGGCAGGGCATTCCTCCCTGTTCTCTCTCTCTTCTTTTGGGTACTGTGTTTTGCCAGAGAGGCACTGAGTGGCAATCATGTTTGGTCTATAGACCACTTTTAGCATGTCTCTCCCACCCTGGGAGGGTCTTCACAACACCCTTTATTTGGTGCTCTCTTCTCTATCTGAGCTTCCTTCTCACCTAGCACATGTGGCTGGCCTTCAAGTCATGGAGCAAAATTCCTGGTACTAATCTGAGCCCTTCCTGGGTGTTAGTCTCCCGTTTTGTTGCTTTATGTTCCCCAGATGAATGCAATCTTTCTGTGTCTATCCCGCTCTTTCTGACTCATTTCGCTTAACATGATACTTTCCATGTAGTACCACTTGTATGTAAATTTCATAACTTCATCTTTTCTAACAGCTACATAGTACTCCATTATGTATATGTACCAAAGCTTCTTTAACCAGTCATCTGTTCTCGGGCACTCAGGTTTTTTCCAGATTCTGGCTATTGTAAAGAGTGCTGCAATGAACAAACAAGTGCAGATGTCACTTCGACTATACCTTTTTGCCTCTCTGGGATATATTCCCAGGAGTGCTATAGTTGGGTCAAATGGGAGATAGAATTCTAATTTTTTGAGAATCGTCCATACTGTTTTCCAGAAGGGTTGGACCAGCCTGCATTCCCACCAGCAGTGAAGGAGGGTCCCTTTCTCGCCACATCCGCGCCAGCACCTGTTGCTTTTGTTCTTGTGGATGTGGGCCAGTCTCTGTGGTGTGAAATGATATCTCATTGTTGTTTTGATCTGCATCTCTCTGATGATTAGTGATGTAGAGCATTTTCTCATGTGCCTTTTTGCCATTCGGATTTCTTCTTTGCGAAAGTTTCTGTTCATTTCCTCGCCCCATTTTTTGATGGGGTTGGGTGATTTCTTCTTGTGTAGTTTAACCAGTACCTTGTATATCCTTGAAATCAACCCCTTATCGGATGTGTATTTGGTGAATATTCTTTCCCATTCTGTAGGCTGTCTTTGTATTTTGGTCACTGTTTCTTTTGAGGTGCAGAAGCTTCTTAGTTTAAGATAGTCCCATTTGTCTATCTCTGTTTTCACTTGCTCGGCCAGTGGCGTGACGTCTTTGAAGACATGATACTATACTTAGAGAACCCTAAAACCTCTACCAAGAAACTCCTAGAAACAATAGGCTTGTATAGTAAAGTGGCAGGCTATAAAATCAATACCCAAAAATCCATGGCTTTCCTATATGCAAATAATGAAAGAGAAGAAAGTGACATGAAGAAAACAATTCCATTCACAATTGTGCCCCAGAAAATCAAGTACCTAGGAATCGCCTTAACTAAGGAAGTAAAGGATCTGTACAAAGAAAACTACAAAACGCTACTTCGGGAAATAAAAGAGGACACGAGGAAATGGAAAAATATCCCCTGTTCATGGATGGGGAGAATCAACATTGTCAAAATGGCAATACTTCCCAAGGCACTGTACAAATTCAATGCAATCCCTATAAGGATACCCACGACATTCTTCAAAGAAATGGGGGAAACACTCCTGAAATTTATATGGAACAATAAGCCCCCATGAATAGCTAAAGCAATTCTTGGGAAAAAGAAAATGGGAGGAATCAACCTACCTAACTTCAAGCTCTACTACAAAGCAGTAATAATCAAAACAGCATGGTACTGGAACAAAGGCAGAGTTGCAGACCAATGGAATAGAGTTGAATATACTGGCATCTCCTCCCAAACATATAATCATCTAATCTTCGATAAGGGGGCAAGAAAAGTGAAATGGAGCAGGGAAAGCCTCTTTAATAAATTGTGCTGGCAAAACTGGACGGCTACATGCAAAAAAGTGGGCTCAGATCTCTGCCTAACGCCATGCACAAAAGTAAGATTGAAATGGATTTATGACCTCAACATCAGACCGGAATCCATAATGTTTATTGAAGACAAAGTTGGCAAAACTCTCCACGATATTGAAGTTAGTGGTATCTTCATTAGTAACTTTTTTGAGGTAAGCTATCAACTCTGCCCACTCAGTCTTCTTAATGCCAGCGAAGATCATTTTTGTTTCAGGGATGTACTTCTTGGGATTCTCCAAATAATCCATCAGCGTGTCTTCATTCCAGGTGATGCCTTTGTTCTTGTTGGCATCAGTGTAAGAGAATCCAGTGACCTGACTCGTCTTTCGCCCAAACAGACCATGGAGATTGGGACCCGTCTTGTACTTGCCTCCCTTCTCCACGGTATGGCACTGAGCGCACTTCTGGACAAAAATCTTCTTGCCCCTCTCAATATCACCCCTCTTTCAATCTCGCCTTCATCTCACGTGACACAGAGAGTCCGCTCCGCAACTCTGGCATCCTGCACTTTTCTAAATTACTTTCTCTTCTTTCAAGGTAAATATAAACACTTTTGCTATTGACTCAGTCATCTATGTCAGTGTTTTTATTTTCTGGATTCTGGTGATACTTAGCTCAGTCCTATTTTCATTATCTGTCTATATTTCAATGAAGATTTCTAATTCACATCACCACTAAAGTAAGTTTACTGGAAAGTGAATGCTTGTTAACTAAACCCATTGAAACAATTTTAAACTGCTTTTAAAGCATAACAAAGTCACCTTTCCAGGAGCTCCAGCTTTCTTTCTCTGAAATTTTTTGCCTCCTCCCTCTCGTGTTAGCCTCCCCCTCATACTCCAAAACCCATGGCAGAAAAAGAGCCATATAAACAATGAAAACGTCATGGTTCATACCTGCATCATCTTAGTCTTGTTTTATGAAGACTAAAAAAATTTACCTTTATAACATAATCTAGACACTTCTTTCTCCTTCTAATCTCAAAAACACTTCCTTTCAGCATAGGTTGAAGCATTTTCCAAGTGGGGAAATAAGAACAAAAATTTCTTTTTTAAAAAAGGACAAAAAAAACCCCAGAAAGCTGATTCTGTATCTAATATGGGGTAAAACTGTGTTAACTATAATTGAAGAGCTTTCTTTTCTTAAATACACCTCAGAAATTTTAATATGCTAAGTGTACTATGTCTCTAAGAAAAGGATGAAACTTATAGAATTCTATTTAAGCCATCTAAATTCTAGTCTTGTAGACCAAACATGATGGCCACTCGATATCTCTATTGCAAACAACAACACCCAAAAAGGAGAGAGAGAACAAAATGGAATGCCCTGCCACAGAGGTGGGGTGGCAGGAGATGGGGTGGGGATGGGGTGGGGCGATGAGAGGGATACTGGGGTCATTGGTGGTAGAGAATGGGCACTGGTGGAGGGATGGGTACTCGATCATTGTTATGACTGAAATGCAAGCACGAAAGTTTGTAAGTCTGTAACTGTACCTCTGTAACTGTACCTCAAGATGATTCACTAATAAAAATGGTTTAAAAAATAAATTCTAGAACCTCTGAAGAGACAATACAGAATAACATTTGAGGTAAATGCTGTGCCTGGAATTTGTGCAAGATGCCATGCCCATGGTATGCGGGGGGGGTTTTCCTAGTGGTATTCAGGGAAACACACTGTGCCACTAATTTAACCTGAGTTTCCTGCATGCAAAGCATGCGCTGTAGTCCTCTGAGCTATCTCACCAACCCAGTTCAAGACAACTATAAAACCACTGACCACCTTTCATCTATATTTAGCACAAAATAATGCCACATATATTTTATTCAGTCATTCATACAATAAACTTCCATTAGCTTGTTATGGAGTTAACTACCAACCCTAAAACTTAAATGTTAAAGCTCCTCCAATGTGACTGTATTTGGCAGTCATGGGTTCTCTCTCATCTACATCTCTCTGTTCTTTTCTCTCTTTCATATCTCTCTCTCTCTCTCTCTCTCTCTCTCTCTCTCTCTCTCTCTCTTTTCACCACCCTTTCCACATTTCCAAAGACCTTGTAACAACAGCGAGAAAGCAGCTGTCTATAAGGTAGGAAGAAAGGTCCTACCAGGACCTAACTCTGCTGGCACTTTGATCTTGAACTCCTAGCTTATAGAACTGCAGAAAATTTAAATTTCTGTTGTTTAAGTCAGTCAATCTGAGACATTATTTGACTGATGCCCTGACACACTAATTAATAGATCCTATCATATTTAGGGAATGCAAATAGTGAAAAGACACAGCTCTTGACCACTAAAAGTTTGTATCCTATTTTAAGGGCAACATAGGAAACATTTAGTAACGGTCTAGTGTTGGCTTGTTTAGTTACTTGACTTGGGATCAGTATTAACTTACTCCACGTATTAATCTTCAACTGACATTCTCATTGCAGGATATAATAAAATTATTAATATTTTTTTATTTTGGTAAATTCTTGCTTGAAGAGTGAGCCAATCAGGTATCTGTCGTCTTTTTCCCTCTTATTTCCTGGAAAAGCGTAGAATCCTGGGCATTAAGCCTAAGTCTCTTCATGATGCTTCACACAGAGAAGAGAAAGATGTACCAACTAGGCAATGAGAAATATATATTCCAAGTCTTCCAACCCCAACCACCTCCTGGAGCCCAGACACAGGTTCCATACAAAGGTTCATATTTCCTCCCTATGACTGCTGAAACCAGAGTTCACTTTTCACCCTTTCAATCTCCAGAGCAAAAAGGAAGCAACCTGACTAACCACACATCTACTGCACCCCTAGCAGCAGCCGTCCATGTCACAGAGAAAATAATTTTGGTGTAAACTTGCACACTATTCACCCCTCCTCTAAAATTGTGACAAAAGAGGCACAATCTGACTTTTATCCTGCCTTTATGTGAAACAAAAATCAAAACCAAAACTCAACTCTTGCCAAGCTAACTTTAAACAATATGTAATTGTGTTCAAAACTAAGGTCGAAGCAACATATTAGAAGCAAAATAGAGTGAGAATATCTAAAAGTAATATAACCTGGGAATCTGAAGGTGAGGGTCTGTTAGTGATTGTTTTTTTCCTTCACTTTTCCACAGCATTGTCTCAGGTCAGTGACTCCAACTGAAACTAGAAAACTGGGATTTCTTCTGATGAGCATACATGTCCACAAACTAGATCATCTATCCTTTGTATTTGAGGAAGGAAAAATATTTCTAATGACAGACTATTTTGCCAAAATATCAACCAAAAATGTAGCAGCATTAAAACCATTCCACTGCTATTAAGATGATCTCGTTGGGATCAGGCATTGATTTCTTGAAAATGCCGTGGGCCCTCTCTGAGCCTGTTTCCTGAAAATTTAAAAGGAAACATTTATTCTGGATTTTTAAAACATCTTATAGTTTCATAATTGAATGATGTACCCATAAAATCTTACCAGTAACAGTACTGCATAAATCATGGGCTTTAAAGTATTAAAATAAAATAATTTCTTGAAACACTATGAAGAAATGCTTAAAATGCCATGCTCTCTTATATTTTACATTTTGAAAATTGAGGCAACTCATAACATACTTAGAAAATGGGCTAAACTAAGGGGGAAACTGTCTGCCAGAGAGGCAGGGGACAGGGACGGGGAGGAGGGATACTGGGGATGTTGGTGGTGGAAAATCTACACTGGTTGAAGGGATGGATGTTTGATCATTGTGATCGAAAAACATGAAAGCTTTATAGATGTAGCTCACAGTGATTCAATTAAAAATACATAAATTAAAAAAGGAAAGAAAATAGATTACGTTTTGCTCAAATTTTAAGCATTGTAGGGCTGGAGCGATAGGACAGCTGGTAGGGTGTTTGCCTTGCTCATGGATGATCCTGTGCATTGCCGGGTGTGACCCAAAAAACAAAAACAAAAACAAAAACAAAAAAAATGTAGGCATTGCAAAACTGTCCGGTGGAATTATAGTTCTTAGTTAAAAACTTGAAAAAGTAAAACAATGCTAATTCTTTCAGTACTGTTTTCAGTCTAGAAATAGAGCTAAGGTCCGTCTCTTAGAAAGAATGAGTCTGATATTTGTACAAATAAACTATGTGTGTACTGGTATTAAAAACAATGACATACTTTTTTTGCCTGTCACTGTAAATCCTCACACTGTTTCAAATTTACTCTAACTTGGAATTGGGTAAGATATGGCATTTTGTACCAATGCAGACAGTCATATCCCTTTCAGAACACTATTGTTCTTAATCCTTCTTTGGATTATATTGGACATGTGCAGGATCCAGAGGAAGTGAGACTGTTAGCATGACCATGTCTGATGTCCCCCTCCTGCAGACACAGGAGCCCCAGATGGGAAGCTCACAAGAAGTGCAGAGAGAGGAGAAAACTGTTTTTTTTAGATGAGCTGCAGATATTAGGAAATCATCCATTTCCATTGCTTTATGTCATTGAAGGAGACAAATTTAAAGTTTTTAATTATTATAAAGGTAAAGGTAAAGGCCCTCCCGTTGATCGTCGATTTGCTCGAGCGGGCCCAGTAACGTCTCCATTGGAGACTTTGTTGTTACTGTGTCTGGCATATCGAATACTCTCGGTAGCTTGCCGGGCTCTCCGAGAGGGGCGGAGGAATAGAACTCGGGTCGGCCATGTTGGCCGCTTGTAGGGCGTTTATTATAGGAGCACAGATATACTTACTGCTAAGATAAATATTATGAGGCAAAATTTTTCTTTCTGACAAGCATCAGTGTCAGTATAGTGGTATAATGCAAGTGAGTGGCTCTGAGCATGCACATGAAGTTGGGGAGAAAGGAATGTTTGTCAAAAATTATTTGAAGATGACTTTATCTCTTTGGAACTATAAGTGAGGACATTTTACACTCTTCAAATAAATTTATGTTTTCAGATTTTCTAATCTATTAAAGGTAATCTGCCTGGATTCACTAGTTTCTAGTTGGTGTCAAGATTTGGAAAACAGGTATGCCCGGCAAGACCCACTAAAAGTATCATCCATGTGACTCCCAATCTACCAGATTCCACAGACCAGAGCTTTTGTCTTTTAATCTTGAGAAATAATATAGAACAATAAAGAAATGCTATAACACAAGCATAACATAGAATTGCTATTTTACCAACTATGTTTCTGTTTTTGTTTTTGTTTTTGTTTTTGTTTTTTTCTTTTTGGATCACACCCAGCAATGCACAGGGTTTATTCCTGGCTCTGCACTCAGGAGTTATTTCTGGCGGTGCTCAGGGGACCATATGGGATGCAGGGAATAGAACCCGGGCCGGCCGCGTGCAAGGCAAACGCCCTACCTGCTGTACTATCACTCCAGCCCCCCAACTATGTTTTTGAAGTTATCATTTATTGTGGTAAAATTTGTTTACAAATATACAAAATTATTTATGTTTCATGGGAACAATATTACCACACCAAGTCTGCTA